TCCCGCGGGGTCCCGGGGAACCCCAGCCACCGCGGAGCGACAGGCAGGGCGCGGGGCGCGTTCACCCAGCCGCTCGCCCCGCCCCGGAGGGAGCCAAACCGGGCGGGGGCTGAAGGGGCGGGCCCAGGCGACTTCCCGGAGCGCGGAACCGCTGAGGTCACCTCGCCGCCCCTTCCCTGCCCGCCCCTCTGCCGCCCAGCCCGGATGGGGCTCGCGTGGCGGGGGCGGTGCACGGATGGGAGGGGGGCCTTCTCGCGATACTTCCCGTCTCAGCCTCGTGCCACCCTGGGGTCCTGGCCGCACCGGTCCCAGTGGGACCCCTTCCGAAGTCCAGCTCCTTTACATCCTGTGCTGGAGCAGTCACCCAAGGCGCAACCCGGGTTCTGGCCTCCTGGCGCAGGCTCTGGGTTGAGGCAAGGGACACTTGGGGGGCAAGGCTCGTAAACTTGGACACGATAGCATCTTTCGTTCGTGACTAGTCTCCCCAGCACCTGAGTGCACCCAGTGGGCTTCTCCACTCACGCGGGATCGCGTCCTCGCCGCCAGAGCAGGGGACACTCACCCCCAGCAGGTCCTAGCGAGCGCCTGCTGGTGCCAGGGCGGCCACACAGGGTTCAGAGATATGGGAGAAGGGACATGCTCCAGCGGAGAGGAGGAGGGAGAGGCGGAAACAGAGGGAAGCCTGGAAGTCCGGGTGGGGAGAGGTCGCCCAGGTGGGTGGAGCTGTTGGACGTGAGAGGATACTGGCTCTGTCAGAAGAGAGGTGAGAGCCTCCGGGTTGCTGCTGGCCATGGACTTGATAGGGCTGCCTCTGACCCCTGCTTTAGAGGCACCGGCTAAATTGCCTTTCATGACAGCTTAGCCGGGAGGGTAACCCCGTGTCATCCCAAGATTGCTGGTCAATCAGATGCTCCTGGGTTCCGTTTGTGAGAAGAGAGCCTGGCCACACCTGGACAGTCTGGTTCTGAGTTCTACTCGGCCTAGAAAGCCAAGGGCAGGGGAAGCACTGCAGGAGGGCCGATGCAGATAGCGAGGTGGACGTGGCCCTGGGAGGAAGGCTGCCTGGCCGTGACATGGTGGCCCAGCAGAAGAGCAACTGATGGGAACCAGCCACTTGGGGGCCAGTGGCCAGAGACCTGAGTGCAGGCTGCTGGCACCCCATCGGTTGTGAAGGGAAGCATAACCCCTCTAAAGCTTGTAACACACCCCTGGTCCATGTTTTTCATTGCTGAATCTGATGGCTGTGGCTTCTAACCCTGGAGTCACGTGCCCAAGATGGCAGATGGACAACAGTGCCCTGGCCCATCTGCTGTCATCTCTGGGGCTGGGAGGGGGAAGCTAACATCTTACCTCGGACTCCAGCCCCACCCCCAGCAGGCAGATCTGAATTAAAAGTTAAATTCACAGTGTGATAGGCACCTCTGCTCCCTCCCAGCCTCACACCCCTCTGCCCACCTCTCTGTCTGAATCTGCAGAATGGGAATGGACGCTTTCCAGGAGACTGTGCAGATGAGGTGCTGGCGGAGGCAGGCACCAGGGGCTTCTGGAAGGCTCTTCCTAGGTGGCCCTGCCTGGCTGCTTTGTCTCTGTCTGAGCTTGCCGGCCCCAGTGCCTCTCGGCTTCCCACCCTCACTCTGGAGGTCATCTGGTCAGCAGTGTCACCCATCTCCTGACCCCCACACTCCTGTCCACTATCAGCTCCCCAGGAGAGACCCAGCCTCTCACAGAACATGGGGTATGACAGCAGCCTGTGGTCACCCTTCCAAGGTGCCTGTGTCTAAGGACGGAGGGTGGCCATCCTGCTAGGCTCTGCAGCCCTCTGCAGATCTGAGAGACTCCAAGCAGGAGGCCGGGCTGAGCGGGGACCAGGACGCCCTGTGGGGCCTGATGGCTGTGGGACACACAGGCAAAGCAGATGGGAACAGGCCTGACAGAACCTTGGGCTCAGCTGGAGGAAGTGGGGACTTTACTGATGGGGGACGATGGGAGAGCAGTTGTCAAGTCCCTGAGAGTGAGGACATCAGGAGCCGCAGCCTGGGCCTGGTGAGGTGTGACAGGGGGCCTTCAGTGGGCGGAGCCTCCCCCACACGCAGACTGGCTGCCATCTGGACTGAGGCTGCCCAGGGCCCTACCCTGCAGCTGCTGCTGAGCCTCACAGCCCAGCCGCTGGCCCCACTCATCCCACTGCCATTGGTCAGCAGCTGCAGAGGTGACCCTGCTCTGGGAGGGAACAGTCGGAGGACACTTCCAGGGGTCAGGTGGCCGTTCTTATGAGCAACCTCTGGTCAAGAAGCACTGGATGGCCTGGCAGTGGCCAGTGTCGAGCTTGGCCCCTCACAGGGAGGGGACAGAGGAGGTGAACTGGCCACCTGTTAAGCACCCAGTTGAGTGTCAGGCAGGAGGGGAAGGCCAGGGCCAGGTTCAGAAGGGGATGGGTGCTGCTAAGCAGGCTGTGTGCAAGGGTCAATGTGGGAGCAGAAGGAGACCTTGCAGGGACAGGCCAGCGCTTGGAGGTCCCGGACCACACAATGAAGCTGCTTCCCAAATGCCAGCGGCACGAGGAGTCTCCAGCATTCCACCCAGTGTATTCCACCGCCCAGCGCCTCTCCACCTGGGGACAAGCCTGCGTGCTGAGGGTGGCAGGTGGGACAGGCAGGTGACTCCTCTGGGGAGGGGTGCACAGAAACTCAGGGGCTACACCTAGTCTTTTCTGAGTGAGTGGTGGGCAATGGACAGACATGGCCTGGCTCTGGGACAGCACTGGGCTTGCAGCAGGCACCTTTGACTCAAGATGTTGGGGCACAGTCCCCATCCCAACCCTGGGACAGCTGTGCTCAGGAATCGGGTGTCCTGATGAGGCAGGGATGGAGTCCTGTCCCGCGTGTGAAGTGGCCATACCTGGCTGCAGGTGAGTCTCTGGCCAGAATGAGGTTCCCATCTCTCCCACCCCAAACTGAATTCAGACCTTGAATGAAAACCAGAAATGGTGTCCACCCAAGTTCTACCCCACACTGGTGCCTGGACCGTCCTTTTTGAAAAGGCCCACATTAGCTGCAGGCCTGGCTCCGACTGAAGGGTCAGTTGGAAAAAGGCTTCACTGGAGTCCACCATCCAGGAAGCCAGTCCAGCCAGCGTTCCCCAGTCCCCAAGGGCTGAGTCTGCAGGGACTTGGGCTCCTGGCACAGGACATGACCTGCCCCCTGCATCCAGCAGGGTTCTGAGCTGTCCAATCCTTCTCTTTATCTGTCCTGTTGCCCCCAAAGAGCCCCAGCTCCTCGGGGTGCTTGCTCCAGTGCAGGGCCTCCCAGGCAGGTCTGCAGATTGGGGCCCAGGGATTGGGGGTGCTGGGCGCCTCTCCTGGGGTCACCACACAGAGACCCCATACCCTTTGGGGACTGTTCTCAGTGTCCTTCCGGAGTTCCTGCTGGAAGGCCGTGTAGGGAGTGGGACAGGGCTCCACGTGCAGGTCCGTGGGGCGCGGCACCCTCAACAGCCTGCCCAAACTGCAGCATCTCCATGGGCTGCTGCAAACGGGCCTGCGGGGTCTTTCTGCTGGAGAGGATCCTCTCGCCTCCGCCAGGGTGGGGCTGGCATCAGGGTCCCCTCTGACAGTGAAGGCGACGCCCCCATGGAGGCAGGTCCGGGTTGCGCCCAGCCCGTTCCATCTAACAGGGCCGGGCACTGCGGGGCCGGGGGCGCGGATGCACATCGCAAACCGGGGAACTGAGGCCGAGAGGCCGGGCTGGAGGCGGGCTCTGCAGCGGCGCCCGAGGCCGCTTCCTCGGCT